GACAAACAACACGCACGTGCACTTTTACCTGCCGACGACTTTGTTCTTATTTACTAGTTTGTAACTGTTGGGACACTGCTATTTTCGTATCCTGGATAGCCTACTCGCTGTGCCCAACTAGTGGGTTTGTCTCTTACAAGAGATTTGAGGATAAAGTAACACCTAGGTACCGGAAAGAAGATATCTCATTGGGAAGAATGTTCAAAGGTTCAGGAATGGGAGAGGGTCGCAATCGAAACACACACTGTACTGATTTCTGATTGTTAAGTAGGAGTCCATTATTCGAAGACCATGCGGAGACGTGGTCTAAGCCATCCTTTAAAGACTGTAGGTGAGTCAGGTTTTTGATTGGGTGGCCTACGACCATGTCATCGGCATACTTAACATACAGGCCGAAGTAAATTTAGTTTATTTGACCCAGTTGTCAAAAACTCGGCGACCTCGGTGATACTCGAACCCATGGCAGCAGCTAGCGTTCTGGCCACCTAAACTTAAGAGGCCCCGCCGGGAGCAGTGAGTTTAATCGTGGGTTTTAATCCCACCGAGGGCGCCGAGTTTTTCAAATATGCCAAGAACGCCTCTGGAATCTCCGGATCCGATCAGACTCCCATCCGTGGTTCATTTCAAGTGTTTTATGGGCAGCTGATCAGAATTTAGACCTCAGGTCCCTCATAACCTGTTGGTGACGGTAAATTAACCAAAAGTTAAATTTCCGTCCCTCAGCATTTCCGAATTATTGTAGCGACATTTCGTAAGCAACGAAACAAAAGAATGTCGCTTCAAACAGATTACTTTCTTACACCTCCGATCCCTAACAACAAAGTAACAACATGTTGTTCGTGAAAGGCCGTTTAGTTGTTAAAACTGCACGAGGATGGACGAAGGGCGATGAATAAAAGTGTAGTTGTCTTAAACGATGGCTTCAAGCGGAAACTGTGAACACTCATTTCGGCCAGTAGAAGAAGAAGTTACTCCCCCCCCTTCCCCCTAGGTCTGCAAATTTGGAGGATTCGTGCTGTACGATCCTATCTGAAGAGCTCCACTGACTTTTAAACTGCTGACTTAGGCAGTCGGCATATCACATAGCTTCCCGTTGGCACCCAAACGTCTTCTTCTGATTCAGTGAACACACCGCCTTGAGGTGCTACGGTGAGGACTCTATAGCCGCTTTTCAGAAGCCTTGGATTCGCATGTAGCAAGCAGCCGCCGAAAACCGACAGTTCGACTGTCAATTCTGGCGATGTCCACCGTGTGCTACACAACAAGGTGTATCAGGCACGGTGACTTGCGCAGCATCTACCACACTCTCTCTTCCTTCCCACCCGGGTCAAGTGTCAAGACAGAGTCAAGAAGGCCGGCGGCGGGAGAGGGCGCAGGGGGACTGGCACGGCATGAACCCGCGCCTAGGCGTACCACCACACCCTCTGGTCCACAGCATACATTTGACCAACAATAACAACATCCCAACAGGGGTCAGAATGACAAGGATGATGACTGCGCTGCCATGCCCATCACCCGTATACCCAGAGGGAACGAAAGCGCATCTACCGGCAGGGAACCAGGTGTCAGCGCATACAGGCTACGAGGGCCATGGTTTGATGATACTGGCGTAGCACACGCTTTCAGACCTTCTGATCCGCCGAAACCCAATCACATAAACGAACACACGGCGCCAAGAGTTGAAACAAATGGAAAACGTCTGGAACTTCGGTGTGCGTGTGTGTGTCTGTGTGTTTTGCACCTCAAACGGGCCGATCGGTGGATGCATTGGACCAACTCAGGGGCTACATCGGAGTCCGGCAGGCATCGTTGGAGGTGCGCACCCATAATAAATGTCAACATTTGAGTTGTAGTTGCAGGCCTAGTTGCCGGTCGGACTGCGAATTTGGATCATGTCGCCATCCCCCCATATTTTTTGCTGCGGTATAAAATCATGGTCAGTGTATGTTGTAGACCAGGGGGTGTGATAGCACGCCTAGGTGCGGGTTTATGCCGCGCCGGCCCCTGCGCCCTCTCCCGCCTCCGGTCTTTTTGACTCTGTCTTGACACCAGGCCCAGGTGGGGGGAGAGGGAGGAGATAGAGTGCGATGGACGCTGTGCAAGTCTACTATAAGTATAAATCAACTCACGCTCAGGTCACCGCGCCTGCTTTCACCTTGCCGTGGAGCGCACGGTGGACAGCGTCGGTAGCGACGGCCAAACTGTCGCGTGTGTGGGTGGGGAGGATGGTTCCTAGGAAGGTGTAGTTATTTAGACGGATCAACGGTCGCACCAAGCACTGACTTGGATCAGTAGTCTTTCCGGTCTAACCGCGCCTTTTATTCGATTTCCGCCTGCGACTCCACTCCGACGTGACAAGCCCAGCAGTCACAACCCGGTAACTGCTCTAGCTGGCGGACACAATCAAGCGATGGTTGTCGGCATCCCTTCAACGCCGATGAATTTACGTGTGTAGTCTACCCGCTTTGGGGTGTTTATTCCGAGGAGTGTC